TATCGTAGCTTTGAAATTCACTTTCAATATATTAGGATGTTTGATCGACGAGCACAAAACATCGCTAGATCCATCTACCCTATAGCGGTAATGTGCCTACAAGATTGGTAGATGTACAAGAAGAGAAATCAAGGCATTCATCGGATAGATAGTATTGAAGATAGACTTAATGAGTTGACGACATGACATAAAGAGTAAAAAATTATTTGTAATTTGTAATTTTTGTTCATTACTGTAAATCAGTGATAAATTATTTTGGAAAGAGTTTTAAATGATAGTGATATAAATGAGTAGGTGCCAACCTAGTACTTATCTATTATAATGCGATAATTTCCAAAAAAAGTTATAACTATTAGTAATTAATAATAAAGAATTATATCTTCAAAATTATATCACTATCTTTAACATCAAAATTATATCTTCAATAACTAACTTTTAGCTTTAACATCTAACTATTAAACTTAGCAACTAAATCTTAAGCTTAAAAACTAATATTTAAATTAAACATCCAAGTCATAAGTTAAACAAGCAATCTTTGAGTTTAATAACTGGCGAAATATATTAACAACCAATAATTAACTCTAACAACTAACTCTTAAGTTTCACAATCAATCCTTAAGTTTAACAGCTGACGGACAACATTAACAAGCAATACTTAAAATCTATCAACTAACTCTTAAGTTTAACTGCTAATCTTTAAATTTGATAGCTAACTCACGGCTTCAACAATCATATAGTTTAACATCTAATTCTTTAACTTTAAATGCACAAGCAAAATACATTAGAATATTCTCTATTATGGTTATGATTAACTCTTAAGATACTTAGCTGTTTTTGAAAACTTAGGTTAAATATAGTTATTCATTTTGTTAAAGTTATAATGTAATATGTCTCAGTATATATGATGAAATTCTAACAATTAACTCATAAGATTAACAACTAACACTATTTTTGAAACTTTGAAGAGGTTTTCTGCAAATTTTTGTGGGCTCATTTGCAATTTCTAAAACTTTCTCGGAAGGTGTTTGTAATTTTTTAAGGGTTATTTATAATTTTTAAAAAAACTTTCAAGGGGTTATTCACAAGTTATGAAACTTTTAGTTAGTTGTTAAGCTTGGTAGTTAGTTAATTGTTAAGCTTGGTAGTTAGTTATTAAGTTTAATATTTAATTATTACGATTAACAATTAGTTGTTAAGTTCAATTGTTAGTTGTTTAGATTGATAGTTGTTATGTTTACATGTTGTGTATTAAATTTATTGATTTTCTACTAATAGTTAGTTGTTTGTAAACACTTTGCTTTTTATGTTTAGGATGGATGCTTCATAATATTTTATTTTGTTTAATGTTATCATGTAATATTTTTTTCCTGCAATATATGATGTAAACTTTAACTTTAACAACTAATTCTTAAGTTTAACAAATAATACATAAAACTAACATATAACTCATAAGTTTAACAACTAATCATTAAGTCTAAGAACTGACAAACAACATTAACAACTAATCATTAAGTTTACAACCGACAAACAACATTAACAACCAATACTTAAATCCAAAAGCTAACTCTTAAATTTAAAAGTCAATCATTAGGTTTAACAACTTACAAACAACATTAACAACCAATACTTCAATTTAACAACTAACTCTCAAGTTTAAGAGCTAATCTTTAAATCCGACAAACAATTCACAACATTAACAATATTCTAATAGATGATACTTTAACTTTAAATGATCAAGTAAAACACATTTTTATCACCCTTTCTCAAGTTGAGTTACAACATTAACAGCCTTTTCTTTCTCTAACTCCTTCAACTCAAAGCCAATTCTTCCGTCATTCCTCTTCTCTTACTTTAGCCTCCAACTCCTTCAAATTAGACTCACCCTTCACCTTTCATCTTTATCATCTTTACTTAATTCGCAATCTTGAGCCCTAATTTTCTCAACATCCTCCAAAAATTCTCGTCCTCTTGCTCATTTTCCCTTTCTTTTAACCAAACCCCTTCCTTTACTCTTCCCTCCCTTAGCAGCTTAGCCATAGATCTCATCCTCGATCGTCACCCCTGACCCTCTTCCTTAGACGAAATTGGAATTGACACCAATGTCTTCTGCTTACTCGTCTTACTATTTATCTTCCTTGATTGGTGATCTTCATAAGGGTAAGGTTTCTTACCGCTGTTGGAGGGAACAAGAGAAGAGCTAAGGTTCTCCAGGTCATCAGGCATGAGAACTACGATGGAGGTTGCAGACATCACCGCCATCGTTAAAGGAGGATGGAGGGTTTGTCGCTAATGGCGTCAAGTTTCATGTGCTTCTTTTTTAGCACGAGAAGGAGACAGAGGGTGTCACGCCCCGGACCCGCGGGCCCGTTGGCACGTGCAAGCTGTGGGACCCACCGAGTATAACGTGCTATTTGAATCAAACCACTGCCAACATCGACTAGTCAATTTTGGCAGTGATTTGAGTCAAATAGCACGTTACACTCGGTGGGTTCCACAGCTTGCACGCGCCAACGGGCCCGCGGGTCCGGAGCGTGACAGAGGGTGAGGGTTTGATCTTTTGCAAGATGAGGACATTGAAAGAGAGTGAATGAGAGGTTGACGCGAGAGGGGGCTCGCTGGTAATGGCCATAATGGGTTTAGTTTGGGGGAGAGAGAAAGGGGAGGATGGACGGAGAGAGGATGAGGTTCAAAATAGAAGGTATTTTAGGGATTTAGGCAAAATACAATATATTATTGGTATACTTTTAAGAAATAGGGGCTGAACTATATTTTTCTTTCACTATAAGGGTTGACGCGGTTGACTTAGTCTTGGAGGTTTGTCACATTCTATTTCACAAAAAGGGGCCTAAAAGGATTTTTCCTAATGTGTACGATAGAAAATTACAGATATATCATAAATCTATAAACTACATAAAGAAGAAGATTGTCATGTCAAAACTTTTGATTGCCTCTTTGTCTTATTAATTTCGCTAATTTCCAATTACACCCATTATCAAGTGATTAAATACAACCCGACGTTGATTAAAGAACATTCAAGTTGATCAACATTTCTATAAATGCAAATCTATTTGTTGATTGATCGACATTTCTATAGTATGTTGCTAAATTCTATAATAGCATGAACATTCAAGTAGATCAATGTTTCTCATACTTTAATAACAGTACAACAAAATAATTTACAAAATATTTATACATAAGTTAGTAAGTTACGAACTAGTTGTATTATCTAATTGTTTAGTAATTATTTATAAACCATAAAATATTTTAAATAATAGTATAAATGAAATAATATACTATTAAATACTATTAAGAATTAAACTATAATTTAGTAAATAATATAATAAAATAGTATAAATATTTAATAATATAAATAGTAAAACTAATTTAATAATAGTACTTAAATTAAGAATTACATTGTTATTTAGTAATTATACTATTAAATGAATTATTTAATAATAGTGTAATTACTAGTTTATCGAATTATTTAACAAATTATTATATTATTTTAATTATAGTCAACAATGTATAACTATTACAAATAAGAATAGTTATAAAATAGGATAATAATTTATTATAATTATCCTAGATTATAATTATTAATTAAAGTATGTTATAATATTAATACTTATTTAATATATTAATTATTAAAATAATTTAAACTTAAATTACAATAATTATCTGATTTATAATAATTATTAATACAATTCTTTGTACACAATTCTTTTTTTTTGCAATTTTATTTATTAACGCAAATTTTTAACTGTTCAATTTAAGAATTTATATTGTTAAAAAATCACTTTGATCACCATTCTCCAATTCACGAAAGAAACTCAAGATACAAAACAAGTATGTCCACATGCAAAGCACATGCACCATACTAGTAACCATTAAAAGCATAATCCTTAGTATCTTTGAAATCAACAAATGCATGCATATCAAGCACAAAATTAAACCAATACACGTGTAGATGTATGAAAGTTTCGAAGTGAACGTGGATGCACATTAAGAATATGCAAGTACATTTCCCCAATAACCAAGGTTTTCAATGTCGGATATTGGATTCATGTCGGACAGCCAAAATTCATGTCGGATAGCGAAAATCGAGGATATGTCGGGGGACATATACTAAATATTGAATTATCATATCCGATGGATTTCTACTCAATTTTGGTCACCAAGCTGTAATGCACTTCTCTTGTTGTAACTTATCTACTTGAGTTGAGTATTCATCATCAAGACACGAGTCATTTTTCATTTCTTAAAGGGAAACATTAGAATATTATGCCAACAAATAAATAAAATACACATTGTAAAACTAGAACTTTCAAAGTGCCTTGCATAAAATTAGCATAAAGTAAAGTACCTTGCATAAATTAACATAAAGTAAAGTATCTTGCATAAAACTAACATAAAGTGTTATAGACTTTGAATTGATTTCAAGCTACGGTCCAAACTCATTGTTAACATCACGCTTTTATGTATTCTCAATTTTAATTTGTAGAGACGAAGACGAACGAGAGGAGATCGCGACGGAAAAAAAAACAATATATTTTCTTTGCCCTTATATGTATTATATACTATCAGGTTACTATGGGAACAAAAGGCTAAAAAAGAATTAATCAGGTTACTTTTGAGTACTAAACTCAAACCCCAATACTTATCAACTAAAAAAAATAAAAAATAAAAAAATCAGTCGCTTTTTATTTTTTAAGGCTAAAAATCGGCTGATATGTCTGCAATATCCCCCGGCATGTCCAACATGGACCTCAAAAACGATATCCAGCTTGAAATTGTCATATTCATGTCGTTCTAGCCTTTGATCCGACATGTCGGCTGACAGGTCCGACATGTCAGTAGACATTTAAAACCATGCTAATAACAAACAGCAACGAAAACAAATATATGACTGGTTCATGTCAGAGAATTCACGAAAACACTATTTTTTTATGCAAAAGGCACTTCAAAATATTCATGGACAGGCTTTTATAAATCATACTTACCTCGTTCTCAAAGAAATAGTCATGGGGTTGGACTTTTAATGAAAGAGACTTCTCAAAATGGAGAGTGACAATTGGAAAATCATCATCAACACTGCAATAAGAAATTGAATAAAAAATTAGAGCTGTAAATAAGATTATGATAACCAACAAACAAAAATATCTTTTTGCACACAGTCTAACAGCCCAATATGGTGCACACTCGATTTTCTATTAACAAAGATACATGTCAACCAGAGGCTAACTTGGAGATACTAACATTGTAAAGTTCGAAGATGACCTTATTTGATATTGTTAGTTTTTTTAGCACGACAATTCTAACTTCTCATGTGAAAGTCAGCTAAACTTAGTCAACTATTGTTGAAACCAACATTCTAGGAAAAGTAAACACTAGAATTTTTGGTATGTACTAGAAGTGAGGGTTTCAATTTCTAATATTTTCTATTTTAAAGAATTTAATTCCTTGATGTTGTTCCTAAATATCTCACAATGCATCTAGTTTTTGATGGACACTACATATCATATAACTGTGAATTAAACCAGTGCATCCAGTTTTAAATGTACAACATATCATAAAACTGTGAATTAATCTCTCGCCCCTCCCTCCCTCCCGTTGTACCTCTTAACAATTTTCCTCACCAACACCTTTTCTCTCTAACACTATTTCCGTTCTCATTCTGCCTCTCTTTATGACATTCTCTCTAAGATTTTAAAACTTCACCTTGCCTCTCTAACAATCAACTCTCTTCTCCTATTTCTCCCTCTCAATCTCTCTCTATAACATTCTATCTCTAAATTTCTAAAACTTCACATTGCCTTTCCAAGCTCCAAAGTTCTCTGAAAAAGCACTAGAAAAGGAAAACAGGTTGGATCTATGAGACATTCTAAGAGCAATCAGGGGTGACTTAGTAGCAGTCTGAGTTATAAATTTTAAATGGAAAGTTATTCTCTTCAATAAATTACAGTTTTAGGGACTCTTGCCTATAAACCTACAGTTTTACCCCTATTTACCTTTAAATCCACCCGCTTTGAAAATCACGCTAAGTGAATTTCTTTAAACCCACTATGCATATTTCAGTTGTATGGTATACAATATTGAGAAAATAATAATAATAAAATCCTCAAGATAATCTGCTGAAAATATGGCAACTTAAAGCAACATATAGCAACTTACAACAACATACAGTAATTTACAACAAAATATAACTACAACAAATTAGAGCCACTTACCATAAATTATAGCAACTTACAACAAAATATAGCAAACTAAATTTTGCTGTAACTGTAAGTTCTATATTTTGAGAAGAGTATTTTGGGGATTTTTTTATTTTTTTATTACTTTGTACCAAAATGGTAAAATACATGGAATGGATTTAAATAAAATTGAGTGGGTTATTTTTGGTTTAAGAGTAATTTTAGAAGTGGGTGGTTTTAAAAATTAATTGGAAGTATTCCATCAAAAAAAATAGAAGTAATTTGGGTATATAGTTCAAAACTCCATAGTTCTAACTATATGTGTTTGACTGTAGCTTTACATGTATAATGATCAATAGTTCAGGACATTGTGCGAGGCCCTAATGTAGGTGCATTTGCACATAATTTTCAAGAAATTGCAATGAAATATCACCCTTCCTTGCATACTTCAAAACCTTCATGTTAATCATCTTTCTTGTATAATGTTTTAAATTGAATTGCAAGAGCATTCATGAACAGCTTTGCGGCGGAAGAAACTCTGCATGGTCTCTTTTTTTTAAGATAGGGCATTAAAAAAAATTTAAGATATGGCATTATTAATTAAAATATAAAAGAACACATGTAGTATATGTCAGAAAAATCCACCTATATACAATCCCATACAGCACTGTCATCTCAACTAGTTGCCCCAAAGCTGCAAGGGGATTGTGGACCAATAATGTATGGCAAATTCCAAATTTGAGCCTTATAGCCACTAGAAAAAACCAGCAACACACATGATTTTCTTGAAAAAGAAGCAATAAACAAGGTAAACAAATATATTTTAAATTTCCAATTGTGGGACTTGATCCTTGGACCTTTAGGATCTTGGACTTGCTATTCCAGATAACTAGCTCATCCCAAAGCATAAGCTAGTAGGTTGATTCAATAAAATGTATATCAAACAAATTTAATAACCTAACAATATGAAATGAGGAACACAGAAAAAGACAATAAAATGAAAAATAGATAGCAAGGCTCAGTTCTTTCACTAGAATACAGGCATGATTATTTACTTACTTTCTCAACTTTATGATTATATGATTGAGAAAAGAAAATTTTGTCGACATATGAAAGAAATGAACTTGAGTTGTAGTAAAATTATATAAATTTCAGAAATAGAAACCTAGGCTTGAATTAAAAATCCAGTGAAGAAATAGATACCTTCCAGAATATTTGAAACATTTAAAGTCCTGTATGGTGAAGAAGTCCAAATTTTGATGTTTGGAGAAGACCTAGATAATATTTAAAAGTAAGAAAAATGGATATGGTGAAGAAGTCCAAATTTTGATGTTTGGAGAAGACCTAGATAATATTTAAAAGTAAGAAAAATGGACATAAATGACTTAATAATAAAGTTATGTTTGGAGAAGACCTAGATAATATTTAAAAGTAAGAAAAATGGACATAAATGACTTAATAATAAAGTTATTGAAATGATAATGATTACCGCATTCAATATTGGCTTGTATGCCACTTCAGGAAGATAAGCCAAGGTTGTGCCGCTATCAATTATAGTCCCTCTGTTTTCTCCATTTTCAAATATATCAGTTGGTAGCTCTAGAAACTCGCCAGCAACATCAATCGACTTCATATTAACATTGTAATGTGGCCTGTGGAAGTGATACAAAATAATAGACCTCAAATGCTTAAACCAACATGAACTGAATGATTAAAACATCTATAAATTAAAGCTACAAAAAATAAATGTAAAAGGAAAAACATATTCAAAAGAAACCATTACCAATTTCAAAATTAGTAAATATATTTGATAGATAAAATAAGTGAGTAGCATCATTCCCATTTTAAACCATTAAGTGTGGGATCTTGTTCTCATAAAAGATCAACAAGCCCCACCTCAAACATGAAATGAAATATTAAAATGAAAACATGACATTGAAATAAAAGGTTAGAATAATGAAAGGTACACAATCAATATGACAAACATCGTTCCTTCATATATTAGATTGAGAGCATTTCACGAGTTTATGGGGGTTGGCATAGCAAATACTGCTAATAGTTTCAGACTGCACAAAAGTAGACTAAACATAAAACAATTTAATCAGCATTATCATCAGTTCAAATACTTTAATAACCCATGGGTTTGCTAAATTTAGAGTAGGTCATTTCAAGGGCTTGCATTCAAAACTACAAACAAGGGCATGAAGGGAGAAAAACTTATACATAAGAAACCATCTATAGCACATAGCGATGCACAATGAGCAACAATTGATATAATGAGAGACTAGGGAGAAGGAACGAGAAAGGCAACTCAGATTGCTAGGTTGGTTGACCTTAAAGATTAACCAATCAGGTCACGTCTACAGTGAGCACTGGTTTTATTAGAAATCGTGTGGCTCTGGCCTTGCGGTTCCATTTGATGCGGTTCCATTTGACGTCAATTCCAGATTCATGCTGTTCTAGACGGGTAACTGATACATTCAAATTCAAGTTGATTTCAAAGTCGAACAGAACTCAGGGTGAATCTGAACCATCTGAAGGCCATATATTAATTGGTGATTGTGATAAAGGAAAAAACTTAGAGAGAAAGGCCATAAATATCCTACTACAGGCATGTATCACCTGAGGAAAACTTCAAAGGAGAATCTTTTCACCTATGGTGAGAAGTGAGAAATATGAAAGAGGGAACTGTATTCCTCTTTTTAAATTATAGCACTCCCATCATGGCTGATGTTGGCAAATATTTGAATCACAGAATACATTTTGCATTTTTCTTTCTAGTTTTCTTTTCTTCTACAGTTCTATGATGTCTTTATTGCTATGAATGAACTCCAAGCAGTAGAATAGGAGACTATGATAGTCAGATCTGGGTTTCATTGTGCACACAAGGTTCCCAGTTCCCACGGTATGCTCAAAGAGAGTTCACGCAATCATGTTACTGCAAATAAGACAGCAACAGACAAGGTTAAGATGGAGGAATCAAACAGTAAAAGGAATTTCCATGGCAAAGGAGAACAGCAGTTCTCACGAGTTATGGGAGATGGTTTCTCTAATTCAGACAGAAAAGTTATGAAGAAGGTGGCAGAGATTATTCAGATATGACATGTTAGTTGGTACATAAGATCGAAGATAGAAGATAAAATATCCAATATAAATGATGTTCGTATCTTAAGAAAGACAAGACTGAATGCAAGACGAACAAATAGACAACCTGTTAGACACACAAATAGACAACTTGTTAGACTGGCAAAATAGACAATTGTCAGAGGAATCAAATCCAGTATGTTTTATACAGTGTTTTCGGAAGCAGCCTGGACACTCACCTAGATAGAGAGAAGAGACAGCACCACAGGCTGCTGAAATTGGCTCGGATGCCCCAATGATATGCTGAGAAAGCCCTAGGATTTGCAGTCTCTGAAGGTGCGTTAGTGGCTACATCTTCAGTCTTAGAAAGATGTTTTCACCTATTCTGGGATGATTTTTCTTCACTTTCTTCCCTGATTTCATTATTTATTTATAATTTTACCTGTGCCCTAGTTCCCCCAGACAGCCACTTTGAATCCTTAAGAAGCGATAAGTACAGCTGATAATTAACCTTCAGAGTTGCCTCCACGTTTCAAGTTCTAAACAAATCATGATAGTTCATACTAATTTGAGCTGATTGTTCCCCACCTTCTAATTTGATATGCAGCAGAATTTTTTAGGGTTTTGTAGTTCTTTAAGTTTATATAAACAGCATATTTTAACACATGAAAAGAAAGAGTTGTGCAGACAAGGTCATAAGCCTTGGAATAGCCCTATTTCATAGGCTCAGTCCAGATTTAAGATTGAATCTCCCAAGTGGTGCCATATGTGTCGTGCAATTCCGAGCAACATTTTAAACAGAAATGTTTCTTTCTTAGACCCACACACCTCCTCCATCATGCGATTTGGTAAGGTTTACTGTTTGATTTGTGATTTTTTTCCTTTAATTTTGGTGTACATTTTCCTTAAACTTTCAAATTTTCTTCAGCCTTCTCCCCAAAAACATATCGAGGCAACAGACATGAACTTCCTTTTACCCTGTATCTTGTTGATCCCTTATCTTCTTATATTGTTCCGTAGACTAATCTTATCTATTTCTTTTTCTTACTTTATTCAGACTTGGGATCAAAAGAGATGCTGTAGTTTCATCTTTCCAACCCTTTATCATGTTCATTGATGCCCATAGAGTATTAGGCGCATCACATGTCCCAGACCTCCAATGCTGGACTAACCCACTCCCCACAGAAAAAACACGAATAATAATAATTATAAAAAATTGAAGACTCGGTTTGCCACAAGTACTAACGTAAACTTCATGTATCATGATGAAGCTAAAGAAGTGGTTTACAAGCGAAATGGCTATGATCTTCATTCTTCGATTATCAAGTAGCTATTTAATATATGATTGGCAGACTTGGTTAGCATAAAATACAGGTCATGACTTGGGAAACCCAAGCAAGCATCTTATACCTATAAATTCATGCTCGATACAAAACCTAGCAAATACTGCTACTACTGTTGGTGGAATCAGACTGTCTCTATCTCTCCAAAAACTTGGGATCCAAGCGTGCATTTTGATAAGCTTATATTAGGCCAAAATCTTAACAGTAATGGTCAGCATAGATCAATGCTATCACTCTATCATTTACATTAGCATTATGTCCTAAAGATAAGGACTTTTAGTTGAAGAAGTAACAAGAGAAACATGAAATATGAAACAGCAAAGAACTTGTGCAAGGATAAAATTGCTAATTAATTAGTTATAAGATACATACTGATCAGGTACTAGCGGTGTCATTTGCACTTTTGGTTGCTCCACATGCCCAATAGCAAAAATTCCACCTCCATTTTCAGTATCTAAGCAGTGAGCAAATTCCTTCCTCACTTTTCCAGAGGAAGCCAGCTGCGAAAGCATGGATGAATTGGCCTGACCAAACCCAAGTATCCCATCTAGTGCTTCACTTGAAGAACCGAGATCCCCCGACTGCTGTGCACCACACCTGTACAAAGATGAGATTATACCTGAAGAAAATATGTGCGAAGAAAATATGTGCTAAGAATGGACAAAACACTAGAATATTCATATTCCACAAAGAAATGTCAGTGTAAAAAATTCAAGAACGAAATACAATTTTCATCCAAACGTCAAAAGATGACATTAAACAAAACTTTATGCTAGAAAGCAGCGACATTTGTCAATGAAATAAAGAAAAAGTGAGATGCTTTGCAGCAGTGAACTTCAAACTTTTATGGTGAAATTCCTTTGACATTTAGATAGACAAAATAAACAGTATCTCAGTTGCTGAAAAACGACGACTTATTCCACTAAGAATATGTATCATCCTATAGCTAGAACGCTAGATCAAGATGTGAATCTGCATAATCACTTTACTAGCACTTCAAAGGACCAAGAGGGCACTTGTATTTCAAAAATCTAAACAAAATGATATATTAAGCTTGATTAACAAACTATATGGGGAAAAACTGAGAAGTTATTGTATTATTTGAAGACATTCTTCAACATGATACTAATGTCAGAGAAAATATGTAACATCTTCCTTAGGAATTCCTATCTAGACAGTTCTGTCCTGTTAACAGAGACTACTGTTCAGCTGAGCTTCAGATCTGAAAAATCCTACAAAATTTAGACCATTCCTACCAATCCAGCAACATCCTAAAACATAAGATGTAAGTCTTTACATAACAAGGACGATCACAATCCAAATCATCATTATTACTCCCATAAAGAAAAGGAACAATGGGGCCGACAGCACACAGGCCTATTTCCAAAATAGAGTTTATCAGCATCGCACAACTGATGTAGGACATTTAGAGGATTAGATTGGTTAAGATTGTTAGAATATGATTTTGAGATACTAGGTTAGGATTGGATCTGTTGTTTAGTTTGATTCTTTTTTTTTTATGTTGTTATTTTGTTAGATTTGATGTTATCTATTAGTTACAATTAGGGTTTATTTTATCCCTATAAAAGGATTGTAATGTTTCATTTTGGAGAGGGAGATTTCATGTGAATAAAAGTTGAAATTAGAGAAATAGGGGTTAATCATTCTATGTGTGAAGCTGATGTTTCTATTAGGCATGTGATGTGTCAGGTGTGAAGCCAAATTCGGTTAGGTGCTACATGTGAAATCAGCCTAACCCCCATATTATTTTAATTCTTCATATTCCTTCTGATTCAGAAACAATCAAATTCAACTCAATCATCATTGATTCCACATGAATCATTCTAGGCGTAAAGCAATACTTTAAAAGACATGTTTTAGGCGTAAAGCAATACTTTAAAAGACATGTTTTATTACTCGTTATAACTTGTTTCATTACCTAACGCGACAAACATGTTACATAACATAAGCATAAAACACACATGGCACCTAATGGTCAAAAAAACTCAAAAAATGCATTTTACAAGCGTTTTGTTAATTGTTATATAACTTAAGTTTTTTTAGGTTATATTGATTACCAGATTTGAACACGTGGATCACTCTCCACCGCCAAATCCAATAACCACCAACTTTTTATCACTGTGAAATCCCCGATCCTAAACCCTAGCGCCCCAAAATATCCTAACTTCTCTCAGTGATGATGACAACTTTGACTGTGGAAGCTTTCAACTACAGAAACTTCCAACGACGAGGTCTCAGCGACAAAACCCTAGATTCTCCATCTACATCTCCTCTCCTCGTCTGCATCTCCCTTGAGATCCACTCCTCGTCCTCATCTTAGTGATGAAACCCTAAATCCTCCATCTCCATATCTTTCCCTCCTCCTCTCCCTCTCTATCGAGATCCACTCCTCGTCTCCATTGAAACAATGCCTAGCACCTCTAGGGAAATCTCAGCACTGAAAGGTTGGCAATTCTACACATCTCAGCGACAATCCCCTCCTCAGCTCTCTTTATCTGTACCTCCCGCTAAAGGCTTTCTCCAATGACTTGGCCAGAATAGTGAGGTAACAATGCTTTACATATTTATGATGTTCTGCTTAAAAACTTTGATTATTCTAATTATTAAGTTATTGTGAATTGTTTGTATTTATAAAATTTATAATAAACAATATAACCTACATTATGTGTTACGTTTTATGTGTTTTATCCATAACCCTTAACAAGAGATAAGAGATACACTAGGCATTATCGTTGTTTTCAACATTGGCGTGAAGCTAATGTTTTGAAGATGCATGTGATGTGTCAAGTGAAAAGCTAGCAGGTGTGAAGCCAAATCCGGCTGGTGGTGTTGCAAGTGAAGATGGTCTAACCCTTAATTTATATGTTAATTATATGTTGCTTGTTTTATTTTAATTCTTCATACCTATTTCTGATTCTAGAAAATTCAGATTTGACTCAATCATCAATGGTTTCGTATCCATTGGTATCAGACTGAAGGATCAATCTCCAACTTCTCTCTAAACAACAAAAGAAAAAATGATATATGTCTTGATCTTGTGTCATCACCAGATACAAAGCTCGAGCGCAAGCAAGATCAAAGAGCCTTTGTGATGACTCCGCGAAGCCTACGATCACTTCTTAGCATTTTTTAGGAGGACGTTGATTTTAAAGAGAGGGATGATTTAGGACATCTAGAGGATTAGATTACTTAGGATTTTTTGGATATAATTTTGAGATATTTGGCTAGGATTGGTTCTACTGTTTAGTTTACTTTTTTTTGTTATTTTGTAAGATTTAATGTTATCTATTACTTAGGGTTATGATTTTATTATATTCCTATAAAAAAGATTGTAATGTTTCATTTCGGAGAGGGAGATTTGATATGAATAAAAGTTAAAATTAGAGAAACGGAGTGAATCATTCTACACATGAAGTCAATATTTCAAGCAGGCATGTTGTTAAAATTGTCTTTGATTTTTTGTATAACTTCGTGGAATTGGATAGGTTGTGAGATCTATCGTGATTAGGAGATGGAGTTTCATCATGATAAGGAGTTTGTATCCTATTCAAACTAGAAAGTTAGGCTAGGAATAGGGTTTTGATTTTCCTATTTATAATCTCTATTGTTGGAGAAAAACCAAGAATAGATGTAGAATGGATTACGATTTAAATATGAGCAAGTGACTGTATGTGAGGTCAAGAGATTGAGGCACGAGATGAGTGATTCCTCTTGTAAGGTACTCCCTCTGCATAGTGAATTTCTCGTATAATGCCCTATCGATGTAGATCGAAGATAGTCAACCGAGCCACATAAAATCTTAGTGTTCTTTAGAGGGGAGTAAAATCTTTATCAAGTGGTATCAGAACAAGGTTCAACAAATCGTGGAGATTGAAGTGGTGACTAGTAAGGGCGTCGGTGATCTGAGGCACGACAATCGGCGATCTTAGGTTCGGCAATCGGCATCGATGAATGGTGGAGTTCTTTACAGATATTCTCGTGATGGAAGAGGTTGGTCAGTGGTGATGGGAACCAACGCATCACAATGGAGGTGAGGTGACAGAAGTTGTAGTCGTATGGGCGGTGAAGTTGTCGTGAGTCCAGTGTTTAAAAGGCAATGCAACCTAGTTTCTCAAGCGCTCAGGTGAGGCGGTCTTCTAATTTAGCGTCTTGCGTACTACCAGGCAATGAAGGTTACTAAGGCGAGCGCCTATGAGCTCCTCAAGAACCGTAGCGCCTCCATTGTTTTAAATATCCCCAACATGGCCCGATATATCTTTTTACAAAGCTTGCCGCAACCGATATAATCTTTAAATATCCTTTACCGTTTTTTGGCTATTTTGAGTAATAAATCCCCGATATGACTGATATATTAGCCGATATATGGACCAATATATCTTTTTATATAGCTAGTTGCAAAATAATATACCGTGTTTGGAATTTTTGGGCGAGATATCAAGATTTTCCCATTATATCAAAATGATATTTTGCCCTAAAAAAAGCAGATCGAATGTTGCAACGTTGCTTTGCACTTTAGTTTGTTTTAGAAAGTTGATTAGTGATCCTAAACATATATCATTCATATTTTGTATGCTTAAATTTCATTACATATGTTAAGATTATATTTTTAATGCATTATACTATGTATGCAAACATTCATTATGGCATTCCGATATTTACCACATATCTTCGATATTTCCCCGATATCCGCAATCCGATATGAATTTTGGCCATCCGATATTTACCCGATATCCGATATTTAAAACCTTGAGCGCCTCATGACCTTACCTTGGCGTCTCAAGCACATCGCTTACCTAAGGCATGTGATGCAAGACGCACAATGTTTGTCTCTGGTCCGAAATTTTGAGGGTGTGAAAGGTGTCCGATAAAGTAAAGTTTATTTTTGTTATTAAATTTTCGTGTTTTTTATTGGTCGATCTTTTGCCTTTTTTTAAAATATACTTTATTACCTATATCATTTTGAGGACATGTCACAATTTTAATCTTAAAGTTCAAAGTTTGTTACTTAGTATTTTGTGTTAGCAGTAGTAGTTAATATACTATTCAGTATTTGTTACTTACTATTCGATTTAGATAGTTTATAAATTATTAGATTTGTGACTTTGAAAAATTAGCACTGCTTAATTTGTCTTATTGCTATTTATGGATATTTGCATATTATTTATATGTTTATGAATTTTTTTGAATATTTATCACTTTGGTTCACTTAAGTAATCGTCTTTTTGTCGTCTCTCGCCTCAAGCAACATAGGACCTCATCGCCTTTTGCTTTTAAAACACTGCACGAGTCTGACTCCAAGCTTCTCGCATGAAATCATAGAGAAAGAAAATGAAAAAAGAAAGGTGGAATCTTTCAATGTATCTAATGGTATATGGCAATGCAGTGGAAGCGTTGAGTGGAGCACAGTCGAACTGCCAGCGAATGGTGGTGGTGAAGTCAACTTCAAAGTAGTTTGTTCAAGAAAAAATGCAAAGAGAAAAAGATCATTGGCGACAGCCAAACGATTGTAGCCCTGTAGACATGGTTTTAAATATCGGCCGATAATCCGATATTATCACCGAGTTATCGGATTTGGG